AATCAGTTTAATACAGGTGACTATCAGAAAAAAATGCCTTTTGCTAGTACAAACTCCCTTTCACATGAAAATACTTTTGTAAAATTTATGCATTATCCATGTAGTAAGCACAGTTTAAACTTTGATTCTAATGAGGGGGGAAAAGAGCTACTCTGAAGGCCTTCCCAAAACTCACAGATGTGTCTGCATCTGTGTTCTTTCGCATAGTATTTCTCTGTCCAGCATATGCTCTTCTGTCTCAGCAGTACCATTCTTTGAGGTCTTGTCACAAAAAGGAGTGAAAGCAGAAAACACACAGCTCAGGATCACCAAAATTCTCTCAGCTGTGATCACCCACACTTTCAAGGCAGAAAATACAACTCTCTTAACTGGACAAAAAAGCCTAGTTCATCTGCCTCTCATAAAATGTCAGAATCAGTCAAATTTAACCCAAGATTATCTTCTACATGGGATCACCTAACATCAAAAAGCGATGGGATCAGCATTTGGTTATTCATAGCATCAATGGGAAAAGAACCTGGAGCTCCATGACACCAGTGTACAAGCTCATTCTCCCGCTCGATTGTCTCTCCCAGCTCAGGAGGCCAGTTGCTGTTCTGCTCTTGGTCCATCAGAAAATCGACACTCTGCCACACAAGCTCCTGATCTGCTGGCTGCAAGTACTCATGATAGGAAAGCAACATCTGAAGTATTGATGAAAGCCCATGTGCTGCACCTGTAAAGAAGACCACCAGTCAGAGTGGGAGGGTAGGCTTAGGTCCTACCCCCCATCCCATAGCAACTTTCTCTTGGAACTGATTTCCTTGTCAAGTCCATGGCTCTTTCAATTTATTTATGCATATTACAGTAGTGCTCAGCATAAAGCATTTTAGGTGCATGACACTATGATTTGTTACCACCTCTGTCTTTTCCAGTTCCTCAAGCCAAGCAAAAATACCTATGAATTTTGTCTGTTCCCACTCTGATGTGACTGAAACCGTATGTGAAGTTACACTGAACACTGTTCCAAGTTGTTACTCTTCTTGACACACTGCTGAATCTGGATGATTATTCTCAAGTCTTTGTTGAGCCCAAACTGAAACTGGACCATAAACGGTATTCCCAGTTACTGACAGCATCAGTCAGCTAAAACCTGAAGTTCACTGCAAGAATTGTTTGTACCTGCCACGGTCTGTGGAGCAGTGCCACTTCATGACTTCTTCCTCTGCTCCCCTGACAGAGGACTCATTAACACCTGCAAACCAACCTCATGCTTTCTGCAGTGTGATATTGTGCCTGGAGGACCCCACTAGGGACCTGCTCAATGAGTCTTCAACACTGCTTCAGATAAGCTCCAGCTAAGCTGCTTGTGATGAGTAGGAGCTGACCACATACTTAATTTGGACTGCTACAGCCCAAAATGCTCTGCAAAGCCCCAGTATGGTGACAGCAGCTTACAAATAACGTTCACTGACAGTCCTCTCAGGTAACCTTCTGCAGGCAGGCATGGCCACCACACCTCTCACTGCCTCCACCTGGCAAGGGCAGATTTACTAGGACAGAAAGGAGCAGAGGGAATGAAGCTGCTGCCCACCGCTCCCCTGGTGCTGCACAGGCACCTCTTGCATTCCCCAGTGCTAGACAGCATCAATCCTTCCCTGAAGCTCCTCAGTCCCACTCAGCAGCTTTAGGAAGTTGAACGGTCCCAACTCAAGTCAGGAGAAATCCCACACTGTAGGTCTTACATCTTTTATTTCTGAAGCGTCTGCGGGATCAGCATCTGCATGCAGCATCGCCTTCACAGTCGGTGTGCTTTACTCACCCAGATACTCCGTTCCATAGTAGGAGTACATGAGTGGGAATGGTTTCCTCTTCTTCGCTGCATACTGCTTTCCTGATTCTAGTATCGCCAGGCAAACTGATTTTATTTGTGCTGGAGTCAGCACCTAAAAAACAGCATCAAAACAAACATCAAATCTACTATAATAAGTTTATTTTTTAGATATTTATCAAGACTCTGCTTTATTGCTAGGGCACAAGACAAAGTACTGCCTATAATCTTGTGAGCGTGCTGTAATGGACATCACCATTAACATTTCATTACATAAAACAGTAAATTTACATAATGTTTCTCAAAACCAGAGTTTCATCCCATCTCTGAAAGTGTACGTTAAATCTTTAGCTGCACAGATGAGGTGAAAAGAGGCCCAGTGAGAGTTCCTGCCTTCCCTTCCCAGTGATCCATCAGTCTGATGGAAGCTGACAACAAGGATCAGGCAAGGTGCAGAACAACAGCCTCCAGACTGAAGGAAGAGAATTTAGAAGAAGAAAAAGGAAAACACACCTAGAGAAGAAGTAAATCTTCACCATCCCTGGAGGCATTCAAAAAACCTGTGGACTTCAGGACATGGTTTAGTGGTTATGGGCATGTTGGGTTGATGGTTGCACTAGACAACCTCGGAGGTCTTTTCCAACCTTAATGATGCTATGATTCTATGATGGTAAAGTTACAGGCTTTACTGGGACATACTGAGCCAGACAGATTTTTCTCAGACAACACAAAAGAGGAAGTAAGGAGGTGAACTAAATTTTATTGAAAATTGATACTACATAATGTAGGTTCAGAAAGATCTTAGTAAAAGAATCAGGCCTTCTTATTTATCTAAAAAATAAAAATGAAAATGCTGAGGAAAATGAAGTACAAGACAGTTTTCTGTGAAGAGAGGCTATTTATGTTTATGGGAATTTATCATCATGAACAGGTCAGCACTGCCTTTAATGCAGTCCTAAGAAATTACTAATGCCTTACTCTTAGTGGTTTCAAAGTAAATAAGATTGATAAAATCATCTATTTCACCAGATATTAACTTTTCCAAGTTACTGACCTAAAGGTTTCAGAGAGCAATTGGTTTTACAGGTTTCAACTATAGCTCTAATGCAATTCACTGCAATCATCCACAACTGCCTCTGTGTCAGACACATCTGTACATTATGGAACAATACCTAGGTCATTTAAATAATTTTGTTTAAGCAGTGTTTTGGCTTTAGGGAAAAGCCTGTTTGGCAGCTGTAATTTGCAAAAATATATTTCTAGTTATGAAAAGAGAACTGAGAAAGAAAAAAGGCAAAATGAGGGAGAAAAAAGAAAAAGGCTGTAGAAATAGCCTTGACAAGATAAATAGTAACCCTAAAACTAAATGGAATACCAAGACAATTTGCATTATCATTGGATTTACAATTACTTCTTCAAGTTTTAAAAATGCTGTTAGCATCAAGTACGGAGAAAACATCTGCTATAAACTATTTTCTCTTATCTGGCATGTGAAAGAAGCTATGTATAATTAATGTCACTTAGAACTTAATTGAAAACTAACTACTGAAAAGCCTTGTTTGTCTATCTTAACTTCCTCCCTGACAAGGCACTTTTTTACAGCTGCTCCAAATGACTATGATACTTGTACAACCTGAAGACTAACCTATTTCTGATCTCCATTAGTGTTCTTTAATGTTAATGCAGTAGAAGTAAATAAGCCACTAACATCTGGAGACTGCTCTCATTTCCAGTAATTTTTAAATGGATTGTTTTAGTGTCACTGAATTTAAAGAAACGGTTTAAATCCTAAGTAAACAAGGAGATCAAAGACACAGTGAGACAGTGTGCATTCTCTCCAGAGCTCTCCTTTCACTTGTCTTTCAATTTGAGACCTAGTCCTCCATATTCTGCATTTTGTAAAACGATCAGTATGGTAAACTTTTAAAAATAAATGTGAAGGATAAGATCTCCTAGTTGTAATTCTGGAAGGCAATAACAGGCTGATTAGAAATATCAGTTAATTTTCTGTATGTAATGTTTCCTTTATTTAATAAATCATCTGGCCTTCAATACAAACCATGTTTTGCTAGGCTTATTTTTATATTCAGTGCTGTTTATTTTAAAAATTAATTCCTTTAAAAAATGCTGATTGTGTATTTTAAATGGTTTAAACTTCTACCAATATTCAGCCTTGCACAATGCTGCATAAAGTATGAGCTACAAAAAAATGCATTTTTCACCATTTTTTAATATAAATTTAAGTGTAAGAAGTCAAACACTTAAGCAATATGATTACTTAATTCTATACTTAGTATATACACCCTTTTGTCTGGCATAATGCAATATGCTAATGAGTATTGCCTCTTTTGCAGAGTGCAAAAAAAGCACACATGCAAAGCCAGATGAAAAATAATTATTTAAAATCACAGTTAGAATGGATGATAGAAATCAATACATCTTGATCCACTTCCACCTTACCAACGATAATGGAAAAGAATATAACCTATAGGTCTTCAAAGCAACCTTCTCTCTGGCCACTTGGACTGACCTGTACGCCTTAAGGCAGGTAGGAGATGTGCTCTAACTAATAGCTAAATAAGAAAATTTTTGTGCTGACTCCAAATATCTCTTACCAAGTGCCCCAATACACTGTGATTGTAGGGCTGCTGCCTGTTTTCCAAATCACTTAAGTATGAAGGATTTTTATTTGATCCTTATTCCAGGACACGGCTGGCTGAAATAGAGACCCTCACCATCATTATTAGTGGCCTTCCAAAGCTTGAATAATCAGAGATGTCCCAGTGGAGGCCAGTGACGAG